TCTTTGGGGGGTCACTGATAATTTGTACAAGTATAGAAGGGTGCTGAGACCAAAAAGCTTGAGAACCACTGGTGTAGGGGGCGCTAGGCACTTAACACATAAGCTTATAAATAAGCATGTCATTATAAATCATGGCAAGTGGTATAAAGAACAGGGTGCTAGGAGAAACGAACCAGTGAGAGCCATTAGAAGGGGGGTGACGTCAGAGAAGGCCCCTCTGAAGAAGTGATCTGAAGAACAAGAGTGAAGATCGTTGTGGGCCTAGGGAACAGTACAGGCAAAGCCCCTGAAGTGGGGATGAGCGTGGCTTGGGGGGAATATGGTGATGAGAAGGAGAGTGGCATGGGATGAATCAGGAACTAAATCCTACAGACTCTTGTAGATCATGTTAAGATTTTGGCATTTTGTCCTCATTCCATGAAAAATTCATATCATAGTAATAAGAATTACTATAATATGATCAGATTCAAATTTTAGAAAGAGGACTGATTGCTGTGTTGAAAAAAGACTGGAAGGGGATAGGAGAGAAGTGAGGGGAGCACTTGGGTGGCAATTTTAATAGTTCAGGGGAGAGCGAGGGGTGCCTGCACCGGGAAGTAGTGGCGCACGTGGGGCTATTTGAAGTTAACATTTATAGTTCTTGCTGCCCCCATTGGAGCAGAAGAGAGAGAAGACTCCTAGGTTAGAGCGCTTTTACCCACCATGCTTAGAGATACCAGTTCCCAGTATCACAAAGATCAAATATCCCTTACATCAATTTTATAATTATTTGCTGGGTTTTTGTGTGTGCGACTGAATCACCCACATTTACTTGATAGATGTGATGAGATTGAAAAAAGTCACTCTTATAGCGCCACCTTGTGGACAGTAGTGAGAAGTTTTCTTATTGGGTCCAATAACAAAAAAGACACAAAGTTCTCGAAGAGGCTCACCAGTTATCAGCCATTCCAAGTTCTTGGAAGGAGATGGGATATGAATACATTCTAGAGAATTAAAGTTAAACTGCTATCCTGAAAATAACTGTACAGATTTATTCAGGCTTGATCCCCTCTGGTTGACATCAACATCAACAGTAATTGACTGAAAATACCTTCTATTTCGATCTCACCTGACGGCCACCTCTTGTATCTGTCCGCTCCTGTTCTGCTGCTTTCGCACCTGACCTGACTACTGACGCTGGAAGTCCTCAGGGCTCAGTTTTAGAACCAGCCCTCTTCTTGCTTCCTACTCTGCTTAGGCACATTTATTCCAGACCCTCATGTGACTTCCCATCAAGACTCCCAGAGTTCTCTGGTCCAAGCCTCTCCTCTGAGTGCAGGGTCCCTCTTTCTAATCCCCTGTTCCACCTCTCCACGTGACTGTTCCATCCAAGACTGAACTTGGGATTTCCTCCTCTCCACATCTGCCATTCTTCTGGTGTTTCCAAATTCAGTGGAGGCACAACACCCTCCCCTCCCTGTTTTCAAATCAGAAACTTGGAAGTCATTCTTGAGTCCTCCCTCCCCCTCCCTCCCCCGCCCCCCCCTCCTCCTCTTGAGCCCTCCCTCCCCAGTCAATCTCTTGGCCTCTTCTGTTTTACTGGTAGGTATCTCCGGAGTGGCCCACTTTGGTCTACTTTGATTGCCCCTGCTCTTTCTGGCCATCCCATCTCTTGCCTGTCCCACAGCTACAGCCTCCCCTCCAGGCCCTCTGCAGCCCATTCTCCACATTGACGCATTTTTTTCAAAATGCAAATCTTACCAGGCCACTTAAAACCTTCCAGGGTTGCCCTGTGGTGGGTCCTTCCCTCCCCCCACCACAAGCTGCTTCCCAGCCACTCTCCACCTTGCTCTCTGCACCTCAGCCCCACTGGCTCCAACGTTCCCTAAGTACCTTCACCACAGGGATCTGCCCCTGCTCATCCCTCTACGACTCTCCTGGTTATTTCTACTTAGCTTCCTACCTCAGCTTAACCATCTGTTCGCAGAGAAGCCTTTTCCTGAACTTCCAGGCCTTTATTCTAAGATACTATGCATCAGAAATCCCTTCCCTCTGAACGCTTATCTCAGTTTTCAAGTTTATATTCATTAAAGTGGTGTTCTGATTAATGACATCCCCTCAGAAGAGCCTAAGCTCCTCGAGAGAGGAAGGCCCATGGCTAATTGTGCTCACCGTATTTTTCTAGCACCCAGAAGAGTGCCTGGCACATAGGAGACGTTAGAAAAGTTCTCTGAATGAAGGAACAAACGGTTGTGTCTCTAAGGCCCTGAAAAGCAGTTACAACAGTCAACAGTCTATAGCCATAGTTTGCGTTACTTACTTGTAAATAAAATCAGGTCCAGGTGTGACTGCAGGTGGCGCAGACCTGCCAGTGTGGGGGAGGGAATCTCAGGCTGCCTGTCCCCTGGCCAGCTCCCACCTCGTCTTGCCACACTGGTGAACATATACTTGAAAAAATCATACACGAATCTTCTCTAAGAACAAACAATAATTTTGAGGGACATACCAGTCCAAGTCAATATTGAGGGAAAAAAAAGTATTTACCATCTCCTCAGGGACATTGTCCCACTATGGCTACAGTAGTTTAGGTAACTATTCAGAAAAATTATTCATCTCTGTCTTCAAGCAAATAGCCTTCTCCTGATTGATTAAGAAGCTGACAGGACATGGTACACCTGGGTGGCACAGTCGGTTAAGTGTCTGACTCTGTTTTGGCTCAGGTCATGATCTCAGGGTTGTGAGATCGAACCCTGCATCAGGCTCCACACTCAGCGGGAAGTCTGCTTGAGATTCTTTCTCTCCCTCTGCCCCTTCCCACCCCCCTCGTGTGCTCTTCTCTCTCTCTCTAAAATATATAAAAAAACCTAAAATTTAAAAAAAAAAAAAAGCTGACAGGACAATTAAAGTCATTTATCTCAAAACACGGAAAGTTCAAAGGTGATCTGATTGTCCCAGGACATTTCTAGCTACTTTTAAATTAGTCCTTAAAAAAATTACTGGTGCCCTGTTAATAAGGTAAAACAAAAACTCATTTCCAATGTTGACATGAAAGTGATTAATACCTTTATATATATCAAAATTATTATACCTTTATATATAAAACATAGCTTCTTAGTCTTCCCTCTATTATTTTACTTATTTATAGATTTGTTCCAGGAATGATTTAAGACAGGTTACAATACATAAAATATGACAAAATAACACAAATTACAAATAAATTAGAAATTCAAAGGAAAAATAGGGTAGGGACCAAAAATGGACTCAGAAATGAGGCCAGTTAAAAAAATGCCTTTTGTCAGGACGGTGGACCAGTTGTCTGCACAACAGTCATCTGACCCTTCTTCCTTCTGGAGAGCCCCGATTTTGTTCTGGTAACAAGTGTCCAGCTCTCAGCCCTAGAAGATGAATCATGATTGACCTAAGAGAGTCATGGATCCCTTGCTGGACCATTCTTGTTTGAAAAGCACGTCCTTATTGTTTGAGACACTGTGAGTGAAATCTCTTACTCCTGGCTGGTAGCTTCGTCCCTGAGGCATGTGCTGCTATTTCTCATTGTCTCTAAGCTTTCCAGCAGTCCACTCCAACAGGGACATTTGGTTAGAAATGACTCAGTATCCATAAAACAAACAACAGTCCTGCACCTCAGGAAAAGCACAATATTGCTAAAACTAAGACCAAATAAAACAAGGGTTGAAAAGGGTCCACGTATTTATCTAATGGATTTAAAATCCTGCATGAAACACCAATGTAATAAAGATACTGTAATCAGCAATCCAAGCCAAATTGGCTTTCTTTTTTGACATAATTTATTAGTCACCTTCAAGTTTCATTTTCTATGTGCTCCTTAAGTTAAAACATTATTCTCTGAGCCAAATGAAAGTGCATTTCACAAATTAATTTGGACAGTGGGCGTGGAAAAGGCGTTCTTAGCAATCTAACCTTTGGCTTGTGAATACAGAGCCCTAAGTCTGTGAATTGGCAGACCAGTGGGGTGGGTAGGGAAAAGGTCTAGATGGTTTCCATATACTTTTTAAAGAAAGAATATGTGTTTTATTCTATGTATTTCTTCAGAAAAAGTGTAGGCATTCAAGAGGACCGGGAAAGATCACATTCTAAAAAGGATTGTTCCCCTTTTAACAATGACATAAGAAGAGATTCTATTTTTACTTATAATTTTATTTTATCTAGGAATAAGACTTCTTTTTTAGTTTATCTGTTTGTCTATGTATTTATATTCAGCTTATAAAGACAAGAAACAAACATAGCACTGGTAGAAAGAATGTCTCCTTCTGTGTGCTCTCCTTGACTGCTTGAGCCCATAAGCCAATGACTATTGCTGCCATACTACCAGGAATAGTCCCCCCTCCAAGCCCAAAGAAGCCCATTTACTATTTTAATGACCAGAACTTGCTAATGTGGGCATGTGAAATGTAACCTTGGAAAGGAATGCTCTCCATACCAGGAAGTCTTTGAGAAGGCTTGAGTTCTTGCCATAACTAAAAATTTGATGATGCATTACTGATGACTTCATCCCCAAATGAAGGCTAGCTGCCTGTGTCCATAATCCTCAGGGAGAATCACACCAAGAAAAGACTAATTCGAAAATAGAATACAGGGACACTTCATTTGCTCTATTGAATAAAATGAAGGAACCAGTCTGTGCAAGGATAGAGGATCACCTTGCAGCCCCTGCTGGAAGGGCCTATGTTTCTTTTATAGCACAGAGAGCAACTGCAGAGGGCTTCACAGAGACAAAGAAAGAAAGAAAGAATGAAAGAAAGAAAGAAAGAGAAAGAAAGAAAAGAAGAAAGAACGAACGAACGAAAGAAAGAACAAAAGAAAGAAAGAGAGAAAGAAAGAAAGAAAGAAAGGGAAAAAGAAAAAGAAAAAATGGCTAATGGGGTTTTTCAGTGGGGTTTGTGAATGAGGAATGTAGAAGTAAAGTGGTCTCCCCCCATATGAGGCTCTGTGCCCCAGCAGCTCTGACACTTCATAAGTCATTGCACATCCTGGCTTTCTCTTTAGAGAAAGGGAACGGTTCCATTCCAGTTGATGGTGGCTTCTCTCCACTTGGTCCTGATTGCCATCTCTACTGGAGAAAACCGTCTTCTTGGTACATGTTCATCTTCATGTTGGTTCCTTTCCCAGTGATGGGAGTGAGTATCTGAGTGAGGAACAGCCAGCATTTTTTTTTAAAGATTTTATTTATTTATTTGAGAGAGAGATAGTGAGTGAGAGAGCAGGGGGGTGGGCAGAGGGAGAGGGAGAAACAGGCTCCCCGCTGAGCAGGGAGCCTGACCTGGGGCTCAATCCCAGGACCCTGGTATCGGGACCTGAGCCGAAGGCAGACACCTAACCGACTGAGCCACCCAGGCACCCTGAACAGCCAGCATTTAGGCCCTAGCCTCTATACACCATTCCAGAGGAAGCCAGGAAGGAAGGAAAACACACAATGGGTGGGCAGGAGCTGGGCTCAGCAAGCTGTGTTCCTAGAACTGGTTAAGCAGAAGGGGATTCCAGTAGAAGGTATGTAGAAATGCCCCATACAAAACAAGTCTGTGGTAACATGGGTTGTTGTGTATTTTGGAACATGAATAGTGATAAGTCGTGATATGCATCCCAGCACCATGATAGGACACATAGAGCCAGGTGTAGGCCACAGAATGCTGTCAGGAAAACCAGGAGAGGGGGAGCTCATCACTTCTCAGTGATTCTAAGAGTACATTTACATTTTTGGGTGAAGGGCAAAGTAGCTTAGTGAGGTAGTCAAGAACTGGGTTCAAGAGCCAGCTTTGTCTCATATGACATTTGAGAAGGTACTTAACATCTCTCAGCCTCATTTGTTCAGTTAGTAACTATTCATTGGCTACCTCAGTTTCTTCTATGTGGAAATAGATATCATAGTATCTACCTCCTGTAACTGCTGTGAGAACTTAATGGGATTACATGTACAGCTTCCAATACAGTGCCCAGAAGAGCATGCTTGAAGTACATGTGAGTTAATACAAAAATCTCGGGAAACAAACTGAGGGTTGCTGGAGTGGTGGGGGGGTTGGGGGATGAGGTGGCGGGGTGATGGACATTGGGGAGGGTCTGTGCTATGGTGAGTGCTGTGAATCGTGCAAGACTGTCGAATCACAGATCTGTACCTCTGAAATAAATAATACGTTATATGTTAAGAAAAAAAAAAAAGATAGCAGGAGGGGAAGAATGAAGGGGGGGAAATAGGATGGGGAGACGAACCATGAGAGACTGTGGACTCTGAGAGACAAACTGAGGGTTCTAGAGGGGAGAGGGTAGGGGGATGGGTTAGCCTGGTGATGGGTATCAAAGAGGGCACGTTCTGCATGGAGCACTGGGTGTTATGCACAAACAATGAATCATGGAACACTACATCAAAAACTAAAGATGTAATGTATGGTGATTAACATAACAATAAAAAAGTAAAAAAGTAAAAAATTAAAAATAAATTAAAAAAAAACCACACACACACACACACACACAAATGATGTTTTCTGGGGTGCCTGGGTAGCTCTGTTGGTTAAGCGTCCGAGTCTTGGTTTTGGCTCAGGTCATGATCTCAGGGTCCTGGGATCAAGCCCCATGTCTGGCTCTGTGCTAAGCTCAGAGTCTGCTTGGGATTCTCTCTCTCCCTCTGCCCCTCCCCCCATGCTTGGACATGTGCACGGGAGCCTTCTGTCTCTCTGTCTCTCTCTCTCTCAAATAAATAAATAAAATCTTTAAAAAAATGATGCTTTCCTCAAAAAAGAGAGTAAAGTAGGAATGATATTTTAAGGAACATATTGTCAATGTCTTCCTAAATTAAATGGCCTAATATATATCTTTCATAATTAAAGAAGAATTAGGAGCTGCACAGAAAAAAAGAGTCACTAAGACTTTTCCAGATTTAGTCATTATAATGAAAAGTTGTTTAACACCAGGCCCATGATGCTAAATGCCAAGTCAAACATCAAGCCGTCAAGCCTCCACCAGTAGAACCAAGGTACCCAATACAGACTCCCAGTCTCATTGTGTTTATTCCCTTGTCCAAAAGGCCAGTGTTTGAAGACACTAAAAGTTTAAAGACATTTAAAGTTTACTCTTTTTTCCTTATGAGTTTAAACGAATATGGGTGTAATGGAAGTAAAATGACCTGTGTGGTTGTCTGCCTCTCCCATTAGACCGGACCCTCTTCAGTTTTGCTGAACTATGGACTATGCCTTCGTTGTCGTGGCTTACCTAGTGTCTAGCACAGCGCCTGGCACTTAGGAGGCCCTCAAATATCTGCACCGAAATGCACTCTCAGTGTGCTGACTAATGTCGCTGGATGATCATCTGATCGGTTGTAGGATAGAATTGACCAAATGGCAGCCCCCTGCCCCAATCCCTCCATTCTTCCCAGTTCTTCCCTCAGGCATTAAGTGCCTGATGTTCACAGGTAAAAGATCCCGGAGAGGGCTTTTTTGGAGATGTGACTCTCCCCCTTTTGTTGTTTCTCTTACCTAGAGGTTGTTTGTTCCTCTGTGCTACTTCTAAACCCGCTGCTCTTATTTAAAGCAGCTGTAGAATGCCCGGGTTGCCGTGCTTGGGTTTAGGCCCGTGGGACTCGTGCATGGGTTTCATTTCAGAACTCAAGCCTAAGCATTTCCCTGCAAAGCGAGTGTGAATACCCACACAGCGGTGAAACATCAGCAGCCGCATCTTTCTGAGCGCACGGAAGCGCTCGGCACTTGGGGTTTGAAATGCTCACCTACTATGAGATGCACAGGCGTGTTCTGGGGGGGGCGGCCACTGTACAGATACAGAGCAAAGCGACGCTCTGCTTTCCAGTCTGATGAGAGCTGCCTGTTTGTGCTAAAAAGGACGCTGGGTTTTCCATTGATGTTGCACAGCCAAATAGGTAATTTGGGGGTCTTCAGCATGCTGCCCACCTGGAAGGGGAGAGGTGAATGCAGATGAGTATATAGATTTGGCCACATCCTGGTGGATGCTGATACATCATCGCGATCAAAAAGCAGCTCGGAGGCTTCTTCTCACACTTGTAGGTGCACAGGGCACTCTGCGTGCAGTGAGATCTGAAGCGAAGGCTTCATCATGAGCGAGTTTACATGTACGCAGGCTGTGGTGTAGTGGGGATGCTGCAGTGTGGGGATGGCCTCATGGAGGACGTGGAGCCACCTCAGTTTGGCGTGGAAGTTTAGAGAATAAATAAACTGAAACATAAGTGTAGTGGTGGAATAAAAAAACTTCAATTTGTCTTCGTCATTGACTGGTGTATTTACTCCTATGCCCAAGGTAGGACAATATTTCATTCGGCAGGTGGTCAGACTTCTGGAAACACTAACCATTTAGAATATAGGAAAAAGAGAATATTTAGAATATAGAAATATAGAATATTTTGGGCGCCTGGGTGGCTCAGTCGGTTAAGCGATTGCCTTCGGCTCAGGTCATGATCCTGGAGTCCCGGGATCGAGTCCCGCATCGGGCTCCCTGCTCAGCGGGGGGTCTGCTTCTCCCTCTCACCCTCCTCCCTCTTGTGCTCTCTGTCTCTCATTCTCTCTCAAATAAATAAATAAAATCTTTTAAAAAAATATAGAATATTTTGAATGGAGGGAAGAGCTCCTGGGAAATGAGGGGAAAACACAGACATACATACAAACATTCATACATAGACACACATATCTATCTGCCTGTTAACACACACATCAGATGTGAAGATGTACTGAGAGTGGAGCATACTAGTTTAGCATTACAATAATAATATTAAGTTTGTTCTTTTAACTAGTTTATCTAGCTTTTCCCCGCAACTATCATTTCAGCTTGACTTCTCATGACTAGTGAATTAGACTGACAAAAGTACCACTCTGAGAGGCCCCTTCCGGCATCATGATATTACAGTGTGTTTCCATTTATGATATCTACCATTTTGTTTAAAGAGACAGGAAAGCACATATTTTTTAAAGATTTCCATCAAAACTTATTAATGTTAAAAACTAATTTTTTCTATGTAGAGAAATAAGCATGAACTACATAGAAAAAAAAAAAACAAACCATCTTTTTCATGTGATGCCAGGGAGAGCTACTGGACCCTCAGCCTTGGCGTGTCTTCCCATAACGGAAGGATCCAATTCTGGTTCTTTTCTCCATCAGTCCTTAGAGTTGTCCTGTGTGTTCAGGAACAGATTCTGTTTTATGGAAAATCCAGCTTTGAAAAATTATCACGTCTCATAAACCCAAGTATTAAAGGCTAATAACTTGACATTTGGATTTCTCAATAGTTCTATTCAAATCTCTTCGTTTTGCTTTAGTTTAAATTCTTCAGTTGTGGGTGAGTGGGTGAATCAGAAATGCTTTTGTCTTTAAGATTTTCACTTTCGGCTACCATAGAAAAATTTTATTACTGTGTTTGAAAGACACAAACTGTGTTTTAGTTAATAGTTTAAAAAGGGGGTGCAAGCCTAGCACCTCAATTTGGACATGCTCATGGTGGGTGCAGGAATTGCTTATCTACTCACACTAGAATTAGCCCCTCTGGGCTGAGTATAAATATGAGCATCTCACATATCAAACGGGCAAGTCGCCCACTGGCTACGTCAGAAATAAAACACAGAGGATGTGCAATGGAAGCCAACAAATGTGTTTACGTTCCAAGAATCCACCCACAAGTTCCAAATAACATTGTAACCATTCATTAGTTACAAAATAAGCACTTTCTCTCTTAGGCCTTCTTGCCATGGCACCTTGTATACTAAGATTAGATGTAATCAAAATACGATCTTCGGGACATGGAATTTTTAAGGTTGGAAAACTCGGATAAACTAGGAAATTGAGGGCCGTTTTGGAATAAAATGTCACTTCTTTTGAAATTCAAAAGAATTGAATTTGGGCCGATTTTCAACCAATGGAAGTTCCTGTAAATTATGTCTGGGTGGATGTAATAGAATATAGACATGTATGATATTGTTTCACAGAGTTTTTGTAACAGAGGCAAAATTCAACTGGCACTCAGGTAACTCTCTGCGAGGTGCTGACACCACACTGTTGTTACTTTCCGCAACAACACAACAGTTTTCTCTTCTGAACCCAAAGCTACTCAAGATCTTATTAGAGTAGGAGGAAGATAAAGTAGTTAGAAATACGACAATCTCTTCGATGCAGAGACTGCACTCTGAGCAGGCAGAGCCTCACTTGCCTTCAGAGATTCTAGTGGAAAGGAAAATGTCATGCATGACTGTCAAGGCACTTTGGCTATTAACTCTAAGCGGCAAGCCTTAAGATCGCAGCTGAGAACACACCTGGTTTCAAGTGGCGCCTGCGAAAACAAAACGAAGCACCTCCCAACCGAATGCAGCCAAATATCATATCCCCTTTTTCTCTTAGCACACCACATCATGTGTTTGGAACTTTCAGTTAAAAATTTGTATTGCTTTTGGGTAGACAGTGTATCAGCTAACCTCCACCCCCAAAAGCCACATTCTAAATATGTTTTATTGGTGAGATTCCCCCAATGCAGAATTTGTGCATGTTGCCTCGTGTTGCCATGGTAAAAAAGGAAATTAACTTGTGATACAGTAGTGCTATAAATAAAATACCTTTCTCCTTAAGTTCACTCATTGTGTAATAAGCCCAGTGTTACATGCAGCAATCAAGCCTTTCATAACATGTATCATTTAAGCCAGTGTAAAACTATAAGGACAGGAGGAAGGATGGACAAGTTCTAAACACTACAGGGCAAGGATGGAGTCCATGTAACTCTTTTTTTTTTTTTTTTGCCATCTAGAACAATGGTGCTTAGAATGTGCCTTTGCATAATGAGCTTGATATTGCAAGTCCCAAGGGCCCAGTTTGGTAATGGGAATGGGAGAAAGGTGCTGGAGATTTGTGCTTTCTTCCCTGATTTCTGGTGACGATTCGCGTGCGTAACTGTGAAGGGTCTGGCTCTCTGCACCTGCAACACAGAGTTGATGTAACTTCCCTCGGCGAGTTTGCAGGTATGTTGTCATGTTTGCGGGGTGAGACCTCAGCAACTTGGTGGGGAGAGCGCCGTGGGTGGAGCTTCACATGGTACTTTTATGGTTGGATTTCTTCCTACGAGTCTCTTTAAAGGGAATTTAAAGAGGGAAGAGGGTACGGCTGGGATGGTGGTGTGCTCTGTGGGGGCTACCAGGGGAGTAATTCCAGCAAGACCTAAATGGCTTCAGCCCCTTCTAAAAATCAGAGTTGATTTTTCTGCTCGGTGGCAGGTGCGAAGATAATGCAAACCTCCTAAGGCTTTCCAGATGGTGTTAGACTCAAACTGCTTTATGTTCTCGCTTGGGTATCGGAACCTCACACTCAAACCTGTACCTTCAAATAGAAAAGGGATGGGAGGCTTCAAAATAGTGCCTAAGCTTGTGGGTAGCTGGCTGTGTTCCACGGGAACTGTCAGTCTGGTGGGCTCTGGGGGGCTTGCCATGGCATCTAATGAGAACTCCATTTTTTTTTTCTTTTTTAAATCTCACCCACTGGGCTGTGACATTGGGACTGGAAGACGTGTATTTTTGCAGTCTCTGCAATTTTATCCCAGAGTAAGAAGAGATTTACTTTAGGAAGACAGATACAGCATTACAGGATGGTTTTCACCTGGACAGCAGAATCTGTTAGTACGTTGGTTTTCTTTTGAACTCCAAAACCTTTCTTATATTAGATTTTTATTATCAGTGGATACACATAATCTTCTGATTTGCAGCGCTCACCCTAGGCAGGAGCCCCTACGTACCCGCACAGCACCTAAGTACCCAGCTGGCACGTTCAGGAGTCCTGTATGGAGGAGTAACCCTGCTCAGAGCAGAAAGGAAGGGGTTTGGCCGTGGGGGTCTTCAATCCAGCGATATAGAGAGCACTGTTCTGGAACCACATCTAGGTCCTTCTGAGCAGACATATGTTCTGCAAGGTACTTCAGTTCTGTGATAAAATACTGTGAACTATGAGGCTTCTGGATACACTGTGGTCACGTGTGTCTTCCGTTAGCATGTCTCTCAGTGCCACTGAGCTTGTCCTTTGGCCATGTACTAGACAGACACGGTCTGCCAAACCAGCAGGTGAAGGGGGGCAGATCCTTTTCAGAGGGTGTGCCCCAAGTATGTGTTGTTCACGATCAACTCAAACTTATGACTGCTTTAACCTGGAAGTCAATGTACAAAGTTCTAGCTTATTGAGTCATGCCTTCTAAAACCTAGCCATGGTATTGCCACCATCTAAATGTTAGAGTCTAGGGCGCCTGGGTGGCTCAGTCGCTTGAGTGTCCAACTCTTGATTCCGGCCCAAGTCATGATCTCAGGGCCCTGGGATCCAGCCCTGCTTCGGGCTCTCTGCTCGGTGGGGAATCTGATGGAGGATTCTTTCTCTCCCTCTGCCCCTCCGCCTGCTCACACAAGTGCTCTCTCTCTCTCAAATAAAAATAAATAAATCTTTAAAAATAAATAAACGTTAGAAGGGTGCCTGGGTGGCTGAGTCAGTTAAGCGTTTGCCTTCGGCTCAGGTCATGATCCCTCCCACCCCCCACTCGTGCTTGCTCTCTCTCTCTCTCTCTGTCTCTCTCAGATAAATAAAATCTTTGGGGAGCCTGGGTGGCTCAGTCGTTAAGCGTCTGCCTTCGGCTCAGGTCATGATCCCAGGGTCCTGGGATCGAGCCCTGCATC